GAGCGATATGTGACGGGCGCGCTCTGTCTGGCCGGCAGTCTGCACCTGACCATGATGTGCCTGGAGTACCGGTCGACGCTGGTCGCCTGCGTCTGCATCTACCTCGTATACAAGTGGTCCGGCCACGAGGTGAGTGGCAGATCAGCTCTTGTGGCAGATCGGCTGTGGCGGCAGATCAGCTGGCCGGTTCTGGCGTCGTTTGCCGGTTCGCCGGTCCGGTGGGGTCGCGTACTTTTTCTTGCCACCCAAGTGCCGGCTTTGCGAACAAGAAACACTAAAGGGTTAGTTGACGAAGTTGCATCTGCATTACACTGCACTGCATTACTGACTCGGCTGCATTACAAACATTATAAAGCAACGTCCAATTCTCAACTTGGCTGGATGCAATTTCAACTGTTGCCTCGTGTACTGGTCATGAGCAGGCTGCCCCACTCATTTTGGTATCGCCGATGACGTCAAATGCCAGCGGGGTCCGCCGCTGACCGAAACCTTTTTGTACACTTCCTGGTGGTGTGTAACGGCATATGACTTGTGTGGGGGCGTAGCTGGTTTAGGAAAGGTTGTAAAGTTTTAAATGCTGGTAGCTCTTACATCAGTGCGCTACTTTTCGAACGGTGATAATGCTACTGCATCTAGCGATGTCGATAGGCCGTACTGGCCCCATCTATTGATGGATGAACTGCATATGCGGCCGGTTATGTTGATTGAAGGAAAGCATGACAAAAATTGACAGAAAAATGAGTAATTTTGATGAAGCATTGACAATGTAACTATCAGGCTTGGCTTCTAACGTTCGATGTTACCGGCTGTTCGATAGGTGTGGTGTGCGTGTGTTTTGTTTAGCGTTTTTTGTTTATCTTGGGGATCAATTAAACCTATTGACGGGGAACTGAAAAAAGCTACATGGTTTAGCCCAGCTGCCATTATATGCTGTTTGGCTGATTGGCAGATCCCGAAGTCGTCCAAGGGCAAGGACTGGTTCTGGTATGTGGACCGTGACGTCACTCTTGAGCAGCTAGAGCGCGTCAGCGAGGAGTTCCTCCTGATCTTCAACCAGTGCCCGTCCAAGCTGAAGAAGAAAATCATGAACTCGAGCAGGGCCATCAGTGATCAGGTTGGTGAAAAGGATAGTGCACATTTGAACTGATGGATGGTAGGGCTGTAGTCTACAGGCATGCACAAATATAAGCTACTTGTATTCATTAATAATCACTTTCAGATGGATGTGGTTTCAGCTCGCTTACAAAGCAGAGCTTGCGTGTACCCTGAACTTGCTGCTCAAGTTTCGTCACTTTGATTCATCAAATGGAGCTGCTTCCGGCCTTTTTGCCAGATAGCTACATGGGTGCAAAGTGCTGCACATGGACGAGGGACGGCCGCCCCTGGCAGTGTGATCATCTTTTATCAGTTTTATCAGTTTATCAGTATCAGTTTTATCAGTATCAACAGGCCTTTTCATATCGGCTCTGCCGCACGATGGACCCGCTCGAGAACTCGGACCGGTTGTCCCAGAGAACGAATTCAGCACATTCCTTTCCGCTAGACCGCTGGGGCGAAGTTCGAAACTAGTTTTAGAAGTTAGCTCGAAGACAGTGTTGCGAGATCTACGTTGCCTGTTGGGACGGTTGTGCTGAGAGTGGCCAGTGTCTGCTGTCTGTCAGGAGGCCGAGCAGAGGAAGCGCAGCGGACGGAGGCGCCGCCGCCGCCAGCCGCCAGCCGCGCCGCCGCCGCCGCACCGACGCCGGCGCCGGCCGCACAGCGGGTCCGGCTGCCCGCCGGCCGCCGGCCCACCGGCCCCGGGCGCCTCCTCCTCCGCTGCCCTCTCAGATCCGGTGAGTGGTCGCCCACGAGAGGCAGCTGTTTGGGGAGGCACTCCATTGTGGTGGGAGATGCAGTCTTCATTATTGGCATGTCACAGGGCAGTATCGATCTGATTGCGGCGCTCGAAAATCTTGTTCAGCATGAAAAGTGTCTGGAAGCAGACATGCAGAAGCAGAAGAAATGGGTGTAGACCTGCAATGGACTCAGTCCATGGTCTTGCTAGTAAATCCCAGATATTTCGCTATGAAATTATTCATATTGGAATTAGGCTCAGAATCTTCTGTTTTCCTGGACCTCTGAAACAGTCATCCAGGATCAAAGACCCTTGCCTTTGGGTGCACTCGCATCAATGAATTTAGTGCTGGCAGGCATTTTCTGCTCTTGAGATATTGAACTGTGGCACCTTTGACACGAGTCCAATGAAGTTTGCGTCTGAGCGACTGACTGGTATGAAAGACAAAATAATGCACTGCGATGCAAACCGAGCTGCTGTCACTTCAAAGCGAAGAAAATAGTTCCGTTCAGCACATCCAGTGTGTGTTCCTATTGGGACGCCGGGACGTAGGGCGGAGATGACATCCGAGTTCATTGCATTCTTCTTGTGGGGGGCATTGTTCTTGGCGTTCAAACATGTGCGCGGTCACGATTCTCACGCTTTTCATGGCAAAAAAAGAAGTTCATGCATACAAATGGAATAATCATAAGATAGTGGCTCGTTCCACGGTCGCTTAACACGAGTCACGTGCGACGAAATTTGCTTTGCAATGTGAAACGACTTCTCCCGTCATCACCTCTGCCCTTGCGAAAAAGTTATTCAATATACTCAAGTCTCGAGGGCACGAGAGTTGCCCAAATTGAGGCATCTGCCACGCAGCTGCGCGGAAGTATCTCTCATTAACGTTGGGAGTCGTTAACGCTCCATAAATGCGGAGCAGTAACTGAACAAACGTCGGTGTTCCGGAGTTGTCTAGCTAGGCAGAACTTTAGGGAAAACCGCGCGATGTTGGGCAGTGTGCAACGGCGAGGGTGGGGGCAGGTTACCTCAGTATTGCCATCATCCAGCCAAGTTCTGAATACGCTTTTTTGAAACCATGCGCGGAGAGACCCAGATGGAGTTTTCTCTGTCCAAAACCACGTTTGAGAATCCACGGGGGTTGAGTTTTGGAGGTTGACGTTGGGTGTTATTTTACATTCCGTCCAGGTGTGGGGGGCAAAATGTTTTCATCAAATCCGTCAAAGCATTTTTCAGGATTCCACATTGCTTAAAAGCTTGCAGATGAGTCGTCTGTCGCATGATCCAGGATGGGCTTTCACGCGGTCAAAAAGGATCGTGGCGACCCTAGATGAATTCAAGATTATTTCGGTTCACACACTCACTCATTACATATTCATGTATCTTATATGAACTCGCGATGCATTTCGGAGATAACAGCGGCTGCATCATCAGGCGAAAAGAACACGTACAGTGTATACCATGATTGTTAAACACACACACACGACTTAAACCAAATAAAATACCGCACAAGCACATGCGCTGTCAAACGGCCCGCCACAAAATCTACGGATGTATTTCATTTTATGACAGTTTCCCAAGCATATAATGAAAGTCATGTTGTATAGTATTGGACGTTTTTTAAATGCATCAAGACTACGGTTATTGAATCAAGCGTGGGGCTTCCAATTTTAGTATCCTGCCTAAGATACTAAAACTCAAAGTAAAAACTGGAGTGTCATGTAAATGATAGCCTCACGTGTCTCGTCAATCTGCGTAACTTAGTATCAGTTCAATATAAGTAAAACAGTAAAAATGATTCAATTGGTGTAATGAGAAAGCTTCCCTGTGTGAGGCCGACATGTCTGAGAATGAGAACGCCTGGCACGATTCGGAGGCTTGACCGTCCCGGCCGCGGCGTGGTCTGGCACGGCAGCCGCGCGCAGCGAGATCTCGTCAACCGTTGCCCAAGCACTTCACAGTATATAGTTGCACTGGAACTTCCACATTCGTTATGAACCTGGCGGCGTTCATAATTATTCAGCGGATGAGCTGGCTGCGTACGTTAGACCGCGTGACGATACAGAGGTTGGCAGAGATTTGCTGGCTCCCGTCAGTCTTGCATGAGCCAGAACGCTTCTCTCTGCTTCTCACCCGTGCACCTGGTCGGAAAGATTCGGTTGTGTATTTCATCTTCGCTGCTGACGTTTGTCTGGTTGCATGCCATTCTCGTGCGATAGCGATTGTTGTAACACGAACGCCACTGATCCCCACCAGTGTCCAAAGCGCGCTATACTATCCGACGCATTGCTCGAGGAATCACATTGTGAACAACATTCCACATTGGCATGTCGGTAAAGCGTGGCCAAAGTCCCTGGAATAGGATGGTGCTCACATTCACATCATCTCGCATAAGTCTACAAGTCACTTCTGTTAACTGTGTACAGAGATCGTGTGTCCGAAAATACCAAATTTCAGCCGTTTGTTATGATCAAGACCGCATGTCGAGCTTGTCTAACAACTGTCCGGAGTCTGTCTAGCTCCGAGCGTCCGAGCTGTCGAATGATGTTGAATGTGACGCGTGTTATTGCCACTGGCAGCTCCGCCGTCGGAACCACGGCGGCGGGGGGCCGCACGTCCCCACCCACCGCACCAGTCGTCCACCAGCCAGCGCCAGGAGCTGCACAAGATCGGCCTGCGCGCTTACAAAAGAGAAAAAGGAGCGTGAACACTTCAAGGCGGAGAAGAAGACCCACGGCGAACGGGACCGACGTCCGAGCCGGCCCCAGCCGCCGTCTAAACCGGAGTCTGGTCCGGCCGGGCGCCGCCGGCGACGGGCGCCCAAGCCCGCGGCCCGACGCGCTTCACAAGGCCGAGCAGCGTCAAACCGACGTGCCGCAACCGTGCTCAAGAGGTGGACCCGTCACAGTCCTGCTGCCAGCGTGGAGCACCGGCGCACAAAAAAAAAAAAAGACGACTGCGCGGAGCCCGGCGCGGGCGCTGCAAGAGCCGCGGCCCCAACCCGGGCCACCTCGGCCGCACCCGTTCGGCCCGCCCCTGAGCAGCACCGCACGGGCCGGCGGGGGCCCACCAGGCAGGCGGCGGCCGCCACCCGCCGGCCGCGCACGGCGCCGGCCGGCCCCGCCGCGCACCGGGCCAGCAAACCGGCCTGAACGACCGGCCGTCCACAAGCCGACTATCAAACACGCGCCCGTTGCCGGCGGCCCGCTGGTGCCGGCACTACATCCGGCCGCCCCCCTCGCCAACAGATGAAGTAATACGAGAAGCCGCCACCTCCGCCGCCGGCCGCGCTGAAGCAGGAGAAGAAGGTCGCCAGCGCCGTTCCGACCTTGAACGGCGTGGGACGCTGCCTGCTGCCGCCAAGGATCCCCTGAGCGGCGGCAGCAGCAATAACAACCTGGCGCTGACATTAAAGAGCATCAAGGAAGAATTCTTGCCGCTTGGGCACCCGCTGGTCAGTCCGCTACTCTCGCCGCTTTTCAACGAAACCTCGCCAGATCTCAGCGAAGTCATTCCAGACGTGCTGGGAAACAAGCCGTTGTTGCCCAAACCTGACCCTGAGCCACCGCTGTCTGGAGGCGGAGGCGTGTCTTTACCCCGCAGGCCGCTGTCAGGAGGCGGAAGCGTGCCAAAGATAGAAACTAGGCTCTCGCCTCTGTGCTTCACCTCACCGTCGTCTCCGAAGCCGTCTGCGCCCGTGGTCAAGCCGGAGCCGAAACCGAAGCCGTCCCCCGCCGCGCCCAATCCACCTGTCGAGGTAAAGCACAAGCCAAAGCAGCTGTCGCCGCTTAAGCTGCCGTCGAATGGAGGCGGGTCAATCTTCAGCCCGCCGCCACGTGCTGGTCACGGGTGCTGGGAATTACAAAGGAGCTGGTGCTGCCCAAGGTGGACGACATCCCCATCTTCAGCCCTCTGAAGGGTGGCGGCACGAGCAGCATCAAGCTGCCGCGGGCCCCGCTGCCCAGCGAGCTGCGCTCCGTCTCCATCAGCAGCCACGACAGCGACTTCGAGGTGGTAGAGCTGCGAGACCGACCTCCCGACGCTGGGGCCGAGCCGGCTGTCGCGGCGCCGAGCGCGCTGGCCGCCGACGCCGGCACCGCCGGCGCCGCCTCCGCCGCCACGGCCGCGCCGGCGCTCGCCAAGGTGGTGTCGGCGCCGTCGTCGTTGCTGAACGCGCCAATCGCGCGTGACCTGTTCGGCGACGACGCTGGCCGCGATGACCGCCACAAGCACCACAAGGAGAAGAAGAAGAAAAAGAAGGAGCACAAGGAGCATAAGGAGCACAAGCATAAGAAGGAAAAGAAGCACAAGGAGCACAAAGAGAAAAGAAAAGACAAACATAGAGACCGTGAGGAGGAGGTGTCCAAGAGGACATTCACCATATCAAAAGACAAGGTGGGCGGCTGTGAGCCGGCCCCAGCGCTGGAGCCGGGCACTGCGGGAAGCAGCCTCAAGCTAACGATCCGCCCGGTCGTCAGTCCCGTGTCTAGTCCCGGAAGCACGCTCAAGTTCCGCATCGGCAAGGACACGCGCGTGGCGCCGGCCGAGGGCTTCAAGAAGAAGCGTCGCCGCGACAGCAGCGGGTCCGATCCCGGCCAGCTGGCGGCGTCCACCCACGGCTCGTCCGGCTCCAAGCACAAGCACAAACATAAACGGCACAGAGAGGTGAGTGGCGCTGACGCCGCGCCAGCATAGCGATGGCACTGACACGAACGGATGCTTGTATTTGACCATGGCTGGATTTGGCGAAACTGTGGTGAAGAACGCATGCTATGTCTTAAACGTCGGCACGCTTTATGTTATTACCATGTTCCCATGTCATCCGTTGTCAGCGGCGCAGCCAGTCTGATGACAGATATTTTTAGAGTTTGGCGGAATAATTCGTTTTGACTTCAGTCGGTTTCAACACTATTTAATATTTCTTCCGGTCATCTGGAAGTGGTATAACATATGGTGTTCGTATAAGTAGTATCGCCATGACCGATTTCGAGCAGAATGAATTTCCAGACGAGCAATGGTTCCTTTTGACGTTACAGTTCTACTTGGGGTGACAAGTTGGTCTCATTGATTCGGAATGTATCGTTCAGTTGCTTATTGTACCACTGCCAACAAAATTAAGTGTCGCACAGTGTAGATCCGACTCCACCGCAATCAACTGTCTTAAATGTGAAAAAGGCCGTATCTGTTTATATCCGCCTGATATCGGCTGCTGCTGCTGCTGCTGCTGCTGCGGCTGCCGCTGCGGCTGCCGCTGTTGCTGTTGTGTGTGGTAGGAGATGGTCTGGGCTGGCCGCCTGTGGGCGATGGTGTGATCGTCGTCCACCTGCCGCAGGACTCGGAGTGCTCCGACAGTCAGCGCTTGTAGTGCCATCTTCTGGAGCGTCGGTCGGCCGTCACGCGCGGGCCGGCCGCCTGCTTGACAACGCTGTGATGCTTTGGTGCGCGTCCCGGCCGGCCGTGCGGCTGGCGGTTGGTGGCTGGCGGCGCCGGCACCCGAGTGCTGTGATTATGATAACGTGTAGTCTTTCGCGTCGGGCGACCAGGTGGCGTGCGGCCGGCCGACCGACCCGGCCCAGCCAGCCCGGCACGGCCTGGCGGCTGCGATGGGTGGCGCGGCGGCCACTGCACCCCCCCCCCCCGGCCATCCGCGCACTGGGTGTAATTGCGCCGGATGCTGGCCCGCTGGTGGCGGCGAGCACGCGCGTTCACACCACTCATTGTGTACCCCATCGTGTGCTCAGTCGATTTCAGTGCCCGATAAGCCTCGCGCCTTTGAATCTTTGTATTCCCTGTGCAATGTCAGGGTTTGCGCCCTCATGTGTCTCGTGCGCGTGGGACGTTTTGTACCTACGTATATTTTGTATGTATCGTATCGTGTATCTTCGTGTGTGGATACCTGTGTCGTAATTGTGTGCTGTAGGGCTTCTCCCTGCTGGTAAATGCTATGCTGACGCGGCATTTATGCAATAAACCACAAAATCTGTCCTGTGTCAGGCCCGCGAAAACGTCGGCGCTCGACCGGGGACTTCTGACAGCCGTCTA